AAAAAAAAAAAAAAAATTTACCTTGTTGGAGAAGAATCCTTTGCCGAGGCCGTAGAATTTTTTCGACATTTTTTTGGATTTTTTTTGATGCTCGAATCGTTCGTTGAAGTTTGGAAGTTTAGAGAGATAGAAAGTTTAGAGAGATGAAATCAAAAAAGGGGTTAAGGGCAAAAGAGTAATTGGGGGGGGCGGTGACTAGTAAAAGGGGGGCGGTGAATAGCGATTGAGTTAGTAAATCAATTAAGGTACACTTAATTTGTCTATCTTTTAGCATAAACAATACTCACCTCGAATTCTGGACTTTCATAAATTAAAGTTGGAGCCGATTATCACCACCTGATATCAATTAATTCCGGCGCAAAATTATAATGAAATCCAAACATAATTAATATCGGTCAAAAATATATTACACAAATTCTTGTGTGATATGACTTACACGTTAGGTGTGTTGATATGTCACAGTCAATAAACAAAAGTATATTTTATACTAGCAAATGTCATATTTTATATACAATATCTTTTAAAGTATGATATTCTTTCATAAAAGTATATACAATATAGGGAATGGTTCCAATAGATTCACTTATTTAAAGTGAGGACGTAAGACTCATTTTAGCCACAAGGTTTGGTACATATCATGTGTGGCCAAGATTTACTTTTTTTTTTTTTTTAATTATTTAAATATTATTTTGACCCATTGACTCCGACGTTGACTTCCAGCGAAATCCGTTGACTTCTGGCGTTGACCGTTGACTTTCGACGTTGACTCCGACGTTGACCGTTGACAATTAACCTTCCAACAAGGTTAGTTTTCTGTAGTTGCTAGGTTAGTTCTCTGTAGTTGCTAGGTTATTTTTCTGATGTTGCTAGGTTAGTTGTCTTTTGTTGCTAGGTTATTTCTTTCTTGCTGCTAAGTTAGCTGTCTTTTGTTGCTAGGTTAGTTATCATTAGCTGCTAGGTTAGTTGTGTTTTGTTGCTAGGTTAGTTGTCTGTTGTTGCTAGGTTAGTTATTTGTAGCTGTTAGGTTAGTTGAGTTTTTGTTGTTAGGTTAGTTGTCTTAAGTTGTTAGGTTATTTTTTCTTGCTGCTAGGTTAGTTGTCTTTTGTTGCTAGGTTAGTTGTGTTTTGTTGCTAAATTAGTTGTCTTTTGTTGGTAGGTTAGTTCTTTCTTGCTGCTAGGTTAGTTGTCTGATGCTGCTAGGTTAGTTGTCTTTTGTTGTTATGTTATTTCTTTCTTGCTAGGTGAGTTGTGTTTTGTTGTTAGGTTAGTTGTTTGTTGTTGCTAGGTTTGTTCCTGCTAGGTCAGTTGAGTTTTGTTGCTAGGTTAGTTGTCTTAAGTTGCTAGGTTATTTTTTTCTTGCTGCTGGGTTAGTTGTCTTTTGTTGCTAGGTTAGTTCTTTCTTGCTGCTAGGTTAGTTGTCTGATGCTGCTAGGTTAGTTGTGTTTTGTTGCTAGGTTATTTCTTTCTTGCTGCTAGATTAGTTATTTGTAGCTGCTAGGTTAGTAGTCAACGGTCAACGGCGGAATTCAACGGTCATCGCCGGAAGTCAACGATGTTCACCAGAAGTCAATGCTGGAAGTCAACGGTCAACGCTGGAAGTCAACGGTCAACGCCAGAATCAACTAATAATTATTTTATTATTTAATTAATGTATATTTTAATTGATTTTGATCTAGACAAAATAAGTGGCTAAGATTGAGTCTCACGTACTCATTTTAAGGAGTGATCTTAATGGATCCGTCCCATATATATATATATATAGGGGGTGGATCCAATGAGACCACTCCTTAAAATGAGTACGTGAGACTCAATCTTAGCCACTCATTTTGTCTAGATCAAAATCAATTAAAATATACATTAATTAAATAATAAAATAGTTGACCGTTGACTCCGGCGTTGACCGTTGACTCCGGCGTTGACCGTTGACTTCCGGCGNG